GAACTCACAGTGATCCTCCTGCCTCAGCTTCCTGAGTGCTGGGATTATAGGCATCCACCACGCCCAGCTAAAATGTACTAATTAATAAAAAAAAAAAATTCCGTAGAAAATGGCCAGAAGCCAAGAGCAAAGGAACACAGATAATTAAGAGCATATACATTTTTTGTCATAAAGGCTAATAACCATGTGTGTCAAACCCAAATTTATTCTTTAAAATATTTCTATTATTTTTAATTTTATGAGTTTTATTGTATTCAACAATGAATGCTTAACAGGAAAACAGTCACAAAAATGAAGTATTACATTTTTAATATTTAGTGTTTATAGAAAACCATAAAAATTTTCAATATCAACTGGTTTTTCGTGTACAAAGTCTAAAAAAGAACAACAGAAATAAGTTCCTATATGTTGTTTTGTTTTCTCTTTTTGAGACAGGGTCTCGCTATGCAGTTCAGGATGGCCTTGAGGTCACTTTGTAGTCCAGGCTGGCCTCGAACTTGGAACGACCCTCCTGCCTCAGGGTCCTGACTGCTGGGATTACAGGCATGCTCCACCATGTCCAGCTGTTTTGTTTTGTTGTTTTGAGACAGGGTCTGGCTGTGTAGTTCAGGCTGGCTTTGAGTTCACTATTGAGGTTGCCCTTGAATTTGCTGCAATCCTTCTGCCTCACCCTCCTGAATGCTGGGATTACAGGCATGCATCACCACACCTGGCTAAATTCTTAATATATATTGCACATTTAGAATAAACATCATTGTCACGTTGGCTGTGTACTTGCTTACAAAACCTAAAAGATAACGTCAGAAATAAATTCCTATATGAACTACAATGGAAATGCCAATAGCACTCTACAAAAAAATAATCTTCATTTATCACACCCGAGTAAGAAAATAAGATGCCAGTAAAATAAAACATTAAATGTGTAATGAGTGCTTGGAATAGACATCATCGTTTTCACATTAGGTGTGTACTTATGAAACCCAAGAGATAGCATCAGAAATAAAATCCTATGTGAACTACAATATAAACACAGAAGTCTACCACAGAAATAACCTTTGCTTCCACTGTGACACCCAAGGCAGTCTGTACACGTGACACCTGCATGTTCCACGCACATGTCTTGCTTACACTGACAACACATGTGCTTAGCTTTCCTTTCCTATGTGGCAGGCCACTGTCACCATTCTTTCTGTTTTGTGAGGAGCTTTCTACTATGTTGTACAGTGTGCACTTAGGGAAATAAAGTATCAATAAAATAAAATACCAAATGTGTAATGAGTGCTTAGAATAGACACTGGCATCTTCACATCAGCTGTTTACTTGCTTACAAAACCTAAGAGATAACATCAGAAATAAAAACCTGTGTAAAGTATAATGAAAATACTAATAGAACTCTACAGCAAAAGTAATGTTTGCTTCATTTGTCACATCCAGGGAAGTCTTCACACATGTGAACTGCATATTCCATACACAAGTAGCACTTACACTAATAGCACCTCTGGTTTATGTTCCTGTCCTTCCTTACAGGGCACAGTTGACAATCTTTTCTGTTTTCCTGTTTAGTAAGTCTTTGGGAGGTTGTACCTATTTGTTTACCTGTTAGCTCACCAGTGTGGTCTACAATTTTTTTTTGCAAAGTCCCCTGGGCAGGAAACATTTTGTTTTCACTCTGCTGTAAACGATCTCTTATGAGTTCTAGTCCTAATGCTCCAAGAAAACTTCTCCGTGGTATTTTGTACTTGTTGTTTTCTTTTATAACAAACTATGCCACACGTTTAGGATAAAGTAAAACAGCCATTGGCCAGTGCTTTGTGTTTCATGTCACATCATCGTTGGTGCGTAACTCATCAACAACATCTACTCCACCTTTGGTTTTGTTAAAGAAAGTTTCCATCTCACACTTCTGTTTTGTCAAGCTTTCCTCATCAATATTTCTGTTGTGGTGCAATGGTTTGGCTTTTTTGCCATATACAAGGCCAGTGTAAATCTTTCTGAAATCCAAAGATTGTACTATACAGTTCTGTTTTGAAATTGCAACATTTCATTTGGAATTTCTGCTTTGTTTCTGCATACAGTTCCTGTGCTGGTCAACTTGTGCTCTGTTAGCAAATGTAACATAAATTGGAAACTGGTAAACCAACTGTCAGATGTCACATTCTGATCATTTGGGGAAGTGGGAGCAACAAGTTTGTTCGCAGCATCATTGGATTTATTACTGTATGAAAAGGACCTGATGTCTGAGTTTCATTTGGTTTATTACTGGTTGAATAAGGACCTGATGTCTGAGTTCCAGAGTAAATTCCTAAATTCAAAGTGTAAATAAGTCTTTGCATCTACAAGTGCATAAATTTTTATGCCTTATTTTGACACATTGCCTTTCTATAAGCCTTACATTCCTGTCATTACCATGAGAAATCCCTGCTAAGTACAGCAAACCTATGAATGCTTTCACTTTAGCTAGTGAAATGTCATAATAAATACAATTTTGAATATGGTGTCAGTGCATACAGAATGCCTTACTTGTATTTCAACCTTTGTGTATTTCATAACATGTTGTAGCATTTCATCTGTTACAATTTCCAACATTAAATGGCAGTGCTGGCATTCTGTCCAATGTTTCACCCCTGCCAAGACCCTCACTGTAGTTTTGGACCTAGTTCTAACGTTAGACCATTACATTTGGTGCATGACCATTATGCAACATTTTGAGTGTACTGACATTGCTGTTTTCAGCAAATTTGCATCTGAATCAAGGAGGTCTATATTCCCTGTGTCTGTATCAGTCGATTTTTTTTTTTTTTTTTTCTGTCTTTTTGAGACAGGGTCTCATTGTGCAGTTCAGGCTGTCCTTAAGCTCACTTTGTAGCCCAGGCTGGTCTCGAACTTGCAACGATCCTCCTGCCTCAGCCTCCCCAGTGCTGGGATTACAGGTGTGCTCCAGCCACCACACCCGGCTTGGCAGTTTTTTTGTGGGTGTGTATCAGTTGATTCTTGCTCCATTTCCCTGTCACAGAACTCTGGCTCACATGGCCAGCTTCACAGTCGTCATCATCATCATCATCATCGTCCACCACACCACTCTTCTGTTAATGAAAACATGTATTTTACCATAATGGATCATCGTCATCATCCATGCATGAGTAATCTGATGATTCACTTTTGAACTCCTCCAAAACTTACAAATCTGGTTTTTCATGTGCCGTTGTACTGAATTGGGCTACTTGAAAAATCGGAAGAAAACTATTTACAAAAACAAATCCTAGAGTGTTGTGGGTGTATGTAAATGTGATACTCTGTGATGCTCAAGTAAACATACCCCAAACCTGTTAGATGGAACATCATGTGGGTGTAAATCCTAGTTTGACACTTTTACAGAGGTGCACATACCTTGTCTTTCATATTACCAAGTGGGTAAACACAAAGATTGCTTCCTCTATCCCTCAGGCAAAGGTACTGAGACACACAGCTGGCTACCACTATGCTAAAGTAAAAATTTACAGTAGAAAAGTAAGGCATATGTTTGTGGAACCCAGCGCTATGCTTCAGGGAATAAACATACTAACAGATCTTTAACCTCATTAAATTTTCAATCTGTATTCTAAAATGTATAGAGTTATAAGTATCATGTAATTAAAAGTTTTAATTTTGTCATTGAGATTAATGGTTTTTATCTTTAATTTTCTTTGTAGTGTATCTTCCAATCTGAAAAAGTCTTCCATGAAAACCTCACTTTTAAAAAATTGTCATCTGTTTCTAAAACACTGAAATGGGTGCTATCATTTTGAGGTAAGTATTCAATTTTATGTTTTTAATTTCTAATATTTTTTCTGAAGTTAAATGTAGAAGGAAAATGTAAATTTTGGTTATATTCTAAATATTGTAGTTAATCTCTGAGGTGGGTGGTAGAAGTCTGAATATTTCAGCTCATTTTAAAAATAATGTATATATATATTTGAAACAGGTCTCACTATGTAGTTCAGGCTGGACTTGAATTAGCGGTGATCCTCCTGCTTCCCCCTCTGAGTGCTGGAATTATAGGCGTGTGTCACCGTGCTTGCCAGCAAATGTTTTTAGGCAAAAAAGAACGATCCATTAAAGTAGTTTAAATATTTTTTTAAAAAGTGATTAATATCTTATCCTTAGAGGGTCTGAAAGGTGGAAATCAAGATGTGATTAAAGGGTTTGACTCTTACAAGCAAGTAGCTCATTTTCTGTTGAGAAATCAAAGGCTTGAAGGAGAGGGTGAATGGAGGGAGCTTTCAGGGACTTGTGCATGGTAGGCTAATGCTCTGCCACTGAGCTGCATCCCCAGCCCCTAAAATTTTTCTATGGTAAGGACCACAGTGTCATGGGATAAGGCGGAAGAGATCAGCAGGGTGAGGATGTCCCTGTGGCCACTGGAAGAAATTTAGCCTTACAGAAGGCGTGGGAGGTGTCTTAGTTACTTTTCTCATGGCTGAGGCACAGCGCCTGACACCCACAAGTTAAAGGAGGAGAGGTTTATGGTAGCTCACAGTGTGAGGTGCTGTGGCACAGGGAGGGAGTCCGTGGTGTGGCAGGCAGAAAGCAGCAGACCAGTGAGCCTTCTTTTCCCTTTTATCGCATCTAGGCTACAAGCCTGTGTGATGGAGCCACCCACACCCAGGGTGGGCCTTCCCATTATGCTCACCCAGAGCTGTGCTAAACCAATCAGATGACGAACTTAGTTATCACACACCCTTAGTCCATATTCACACACCCTAGATCCAGCCACCTCTGCAAAGCCCCACCTCTGAGTGTGCATGGCTTTGGGGCCGGGGTTATATCTAGACATAAACTATGACTGGAAGTTTGAAGCAAAAAAGTATCATGATACGGTATGACGTATTTATTCATTTTTGCAGTTCAAGGGATTGAATTCAGGATGTTCTATAACTGACCTATATCCGTAGCCCCTTTTTTGAGACAGAATCTTGCTAAGTTGCCCAAGCTGGGCTTGAATTTGTGTTCCTCCCGCCACAGCTTCCCCAGTGCTGAGATAACAGGCATGTCACCATGTCTAACTTGATACATGTGTTGAGGATTCCTCTGGCTGCTTTATTGACAAGAGATTACAAGTGCTGAGAGGGAGCAGAAGCAGGAAGTTAAGAAGTGGCTGTTGTAATTGGCTAGGCCAGAGATGAAGGTAAAGAAATTCAATATAATTGACAAGATATAAGAGGGATTTCTGAGTAATAGTAAAGGCTCAGTTTGAGACAGACTAGCATGACATAGCAGGCAGAGGTGGAAATGAGAAATTTGACGTTTGTAGTTGAAGTAACTAGGATTCAAGCTTAATAAAGGGATTGGATTGCTTCAATATATATTGAGCATCTGTTAGTATACTAAGAAGTGTGTTAGCTGCTAGGGTTGTAACAATGAATAAAAACAGCTCTTTTTCTCATGGGGTTGATATTCTAATAAGGGTAGACAAAATAATATACATTGTATATTATTTTGATGAGTGCTGTTAAGAAAATTACATTAGGGGAAACGGACATTCGCGGAGGAGATACAGGATTACTGTCTCACACAGTGTGGCTAGTGAAGCCCTCTCTGATGAGGCATCGTTTGACCTGACAGTTCTAAATGAAGTAGCAGAGCAAGCTGCGTGGGTGTTTGGGATAGGGTGGTGGGAACATTTTAGGGTGAAGGAACTGGAATGCAGGTTCTGAGGCTGAGCTGTGCTTGAAGTGTTCTGTCACGAGAGGGCCAGTGTGGCAGGAGTGGAGCAAGTGAGAGAGGAGGTAGCAAATGCTGACATCAACATCGTGACGGCAGTGGGTGTTCAAGCCAAGTTGTGGACAGACTTCAGGCCCTCACGTATTTTTGAATCCCACACTGAGGTAGGAAGAGTAGAGAAAGGTGACTTTGGAGCCGCAGAGGCCTCTTGTTCCACATGAACAAATTTATTTGGATTTGAAATTTTTGGTTTTTTAAATTATGGAAAAATATACATAATATAAATCTGTATTTATTTATTTCTTGCATTACTGGAGATTGAACCCAAACCCCTTGCCCTGAACTACATCTCCAGCCCTTTTATATTTTATTGTATTAAAACTTTTTTTTTTGAGACATGGTCTTGTTATGTAGTTCAGGCTGGTCTTAAACTCACTGTGTAGCCCAGGCTAGACTCACCCTGGCAGTGATCTTCCTGCCTCAGCCTTCTAAGTGCTGAGATTACAGGTGCCCAGCTTTATTTTCTATTTTGAGACAGGCTCTCACTAAGTCACTTCAGTTGACAGGGCTGGGTTTAAATTTCTGATCCCCCTCAGTTTCCAAGAGTGCTGAGATAGCAGGTGTGTGCCCCCATGCTGGGGTTATCTTGAACAGTTGTGATTGTATAGTTCTTTTTTTTTTTTTTTTTGGTTTGGTCTTTATGAGACATGGTCTCATTAGGCAGTTCAGGCTGGCCTTGGGCTCACTTAGTAGCCCAGGCTGGTCTCGAACTTGCAACGATCCTCCTGCTTCAGCCTCTGCAGTGCTGAGATGACAGGCGTGCGCCACCACACCCAGCTTCAGTTCAGTTGTCTTCAGTATATTCACACTTATCTGCAACCATCGCCACCATCTATTTCATCATCCCAAACTGAAACACATCCTAGTAAGTACTATTTTGCTGGGGTGCAGTTCAGTTAGTCCAGTGATTGCTTAGCATGAGCAAAGCCCTGTGTTCCATTCTGAGCACCAAAACAAAGCAAAGCCCTTCTCCTGAGCCCAGCGTGGTGGTGCACACCTGTAAGTAATCCCAGCCCTCGGGAAGCTGAAGCAGAGGATCACGTTCGAGTTCAAGGCCAGCCTGAACAGCGCAGCAAGACCCTGTTTCAAAGAACAAAACCAAACAGAACTCCCAAGATTGCTTCTTCTCTGAATTTTCTGGTAACTGCTAGTGTCTGTGTCTATGAATTTGGCTACTTCTAGGAACCTTGTGTAAGTGTAGTCATGCAGTATTTGTTTTCTTTTTTCTAGCATTTTTCACTTGTATAGTATTCCTGAGGTTTATTTATATTGTAGCGTGTATCCGAGTTTCATTTCTTTTAAAGGCTGAATAGCCGGGTCTGGTAGTGTATGCCTATAATACCAGCATGGGAGATTAAGGCAGGAGGATTGTGCTAATTTGAGGCCAGTGTGAGCTACATAGTAAATTCAAGGCCACATTTTTTTTTTTTTTTTTTGTCTTTTTGAGACAGGGTCTCCCTATGCAGTTCAGGCTGGTTTGAGCTCACTTTGTAGCCCAGGCTGGTCTCGAACTCGCAATGATCCTCCTGCCTCAGCCTCCCAAGTGCTGGGATTACAGGCATGCGCCACCAAGCCTGGCTTCAAGGCCACCTTGAAGTGCATAGTGAGACCTTGTCTCAGAAATGAGACAACTGAAGTATTCTATCTGAAGAAAGCAGGTCAGGGCCCAAGGATATGAGCTAGTAGAGGCAGGTACCATATTTGTTTGTATGTTCACTCCTGTGTATGGTGCTGGGGATTGATACCAGGGGTTTTGCACTAAACTATACCCTGCAGCTCTCTTTTGTTTTTTAGTTTGAGACAGGGTCCCATTAAATTGCCCAGCCTGGGCTTAAACTTGTGAGCCTTCTGCTGCAGCCTCCCAGAAGGCTAGGTTTACAGGCATACACCACCACATTCAGCTGTGTGTTCCTCTCCTGATGGACACTCACATTGTTTCTGCTGTTTCTTGTGCTGTTTTAAACATTGTGAACTATGCTGCTTTGAACATGGATGTACAAGTACACGGTTAAGTCCTTGCTTTAATGCCTTGGGTGTGTACCAAGAAGTGCAATTGCTGGATCATAATGGTAAATCTGAGATTGCTTGCTTGATTTTATTTTATTTATTTATTTATTTATTTATTTATTTATTTTTTTCTGATATCGGGAATTGAACTCACAACTTCACGCTTGCCAGGCAGGCGCTGTGCCGCTGAGCTAAATCCCCAGCCCCATTGCTTGATTGATTGATTTAGGTACTGGGAATTGAACTCAGGACCTTGTGCTTGCCAGGCAGGCACTTGTGCCCTTGAACTATATCCCTGGCCCTATTTTATTTATTTTTAATTTTTAAATTTATTTTTGTAGTGCTGAGGATTGAACCAGGAAGCTCACATGCTGGGCAAGCACTCTGCCCCTGAGCTTCTTACCCTCTGCTTCATTTTCTGACGAACAGTTACATTGTTCCCTATAACAGCTGTACCATGTTTCGGCAATACCCAAAGATTTCAATTTCTCCATATTGGGTTTGCAGTGAACTTGTGACTTTGAGTAATAGAATATTTTAAGTATATTTCTTTTCTTTGTTTTTTGAGACAGAGTCTTGCTATGTACTTCAGCCTGGCCTTGAACTCACTATGTAGCCAGGACAGGCCTTGAAATCAGGGGGATCCTTCTGCCTGAGCCTCCCATGTGCTAGAATGATAGGCATGTGCCACCACCATTCCATGCTAAGTATATTTCTTTAAAAGGATGTTTATCATAGACTGTTTTGTAGACGTTTCAGAACGTAAACCTCTTAGCTACAAGGTCAGAACTAGTAAAGAAAATTGTCTTCTAGTTGTTTCACTGAGAGATTGTTACAGAAATTTAAAAGATGGGGCCTTAAAAAGAACGCCTTGCCATGTGCTTGCGATGTGGCACTGCCTGTGACCCCAGTTGTTCGGACGGTGAGGCAGGAGGAGACTCACGAGTCAGAGGCCAGGCTGGGGCACATAGGAGACAGTGTCACAGACTGAACTAAAAGGGTCCGCTGGGATGCAGCTC